TGCCGCAGCGCCTGCAACAACACCAGGCCCCAGCCGGTCAGCGCGGGTCAGCGCGGGCCCCCTCTGCGCCTCCCCGCCCTCTGGGGCGACCCCCGCAGCGCGGCAGCGCCTGCAACAACACCAGGCCCCAGCCGGTCAGCGCGGGCCCCCTCTGCGCCTCCCCGCCCTCTGGGGCGACCCCAGCAGCGCGGCCACAGCCCTCACAAGCCCCAGCTACAGCTAGTCTGTGGGTCCAAGTGTGCTTAGACACCACTCTGGTGTGAAAGAGCAAAAGGCAGATGTTCTTTCTCACAATGTCAACATGGCCCAGTTATAATAATAATAATAATAATAAACTTTATTTTATATAGCACCTTTAAAGGTGGCTTCTCAAAGCGCTTTACAGGATGACAATAACAATAAATAAGAAGACTACAACAATAATTAAGAAGATTGTTATCTCCCAGCCCCACCCCTTTGATGCTTCCTCAAACACACAACAAGCTTGCATCTGCCCAGCAGTCCAGATCTCCGGCCCCTCCCGGCTACTGCAGAGACAGTCAACATGAATGGCCCCGACCTGCATCTCCTCTCGCTCCTTCTTGTCGGGAATGGCTCTGGCAGCGGCCGCGTACTTCTCAAACACCTTGCGCTCCTTCTGTAGTTTCTTCATCTCCTCCTTCTTCAGCTCCTCCAGTCGAGCCAGCTCCTCGGCCTTCTTCTGTTCAAACTCCGCCACCTCCTTCCTGCAAGCAGCATCTCCTCTTAAACACCATCGCAAACTGGGAATCCCCCCAGAACCGAACACTAAAACACTTGCAAGGACTTGAAATCCATTGACCCCGATTGTAACCAAAGAATCATCTCTTTTCAGTTCAGTAAGTCCATTCAATCATTTGGCAGAATACACAAGAATCAATGCAAGGTGATTTCTCAGCCTGCCCTTCTGGATCTCTCTACAGAGGTCTCATTTAACGATGCCCCAGGTAGCTCTCATCTCCCTACCTCAGCTTTTCCAAAGCCGCCTCCCTCTCCTGCCGGAGAATCGCCAGCGCGGAGTTCTCTGCCCTGAAACGCTCGATTTGCGTCTCCAGTTCCACCAGCCTCTCCCTCAGCAGAGCGGACTGGGGGTTGTGGCCTGCAAGAACACAGAAGGAGGAGGGAGGGGTGGCATTAATACGCGATTCGTCCAACCGGTGCAAGCGCTCGTACAAGTGCAGGCTGAGCTGCAGGGCCAAGGGTTCGAACCCGAGTCACGTCACCAGCTGGCTGTCAGAGGACTTCCCCTTTCAGTGGCAAGCAGCTAATTGGGAAGTCTGTGAAGTTGCAATGTGTGTTACCTCAACCACGATTCCTGATGTCGAAGACGTACAATTTCACAGTCTTTCTCCGTTCCAAAACCAGGCGGTTGGACGAATAATGAAAGATCTCACCTCTTTGTTCTGTTACAGGTCAGAAGTACTGATCTATAGCCAGATGGTTAATGCCTCCAACCGTGTTAAATTCTTCCCGATTTTGTTTTCTACATTAAGGGATACTATTATTTATTTGGCTGATGCTTTTATCCACAATAACTTACAAGATTTGCACCCATTTACACAGCTGGGAATTTTACTGTCACTATTCAGGTGGAGCACCCCTGTTCAATGGTACGACAGCAGTGCCTTGCCTGGGATTTGAACCCACAGCCTTCCAGTTGCGAGTTCCTGTTCCTGACCGCTGTTCCACGCCGCTGCCCCAGCTTGTACAGCGCATACGTGATGCAGCACAGCTTGCTCTCCCACCCTGCAGTTAAATATCCCCGGCTCACCTGGCGCCGTGCTGACGGGATCATCCTCCCGGGAAGGGGCGGGCTTTGGTTTGGGTTTCAGAGCCGGAAACAGCCTGGTCATCAGGTCTGAGGCCAGGGGAGGCCCGCTGTCTGCAGGACTGCCTCCTG